CTGAGCTCATCCAGCCTCCTCATGTTTCCACTGGAGGTTCTGGAGAAACACTCCAGCCATCCGTTCCTGCAGGAGGATCCGAGGTGCCCGTCCAACCATCTTCTGTCTCCGCTGGAGGTCCTGAGGGGTCGCTTCAGCCGTCTGTCTCTGTTGTAGGTGTCGAGGAGTCCATCCAGCCATCAGTGTCACCTGCAGGACCACCACCTGCTCCATCGCTTGCAACTGCCACGCTGCCATCTGGTCCAGCTACCTCGCCTGTGGTTGCCACACCACCGTCTGATCCTGCCTCGTCTGGTCCTGCTCAGCCTGCACATCCACATCTAGTACCTCACCGTCACCGGCCACTTTCCAGGCCAGCGCCTGGGCATCTTCAGTGTCATGGACGGCCTCTTGAACTCTGTCACTGCCATCTTCCACATCCTCAACTGCTCCATTGTCGCCACTGGCTCAGAGGTCGGCGCCCTGAACTGTTCTGCCATGGACTCCTCAGGGGTCGACCTCCTGAAATAAGGAATATTTAATGGCTGTGTGGCCGACCTTCAGGTTGATCTCCCGAACAGTTAGATTACCGGCTTTTGTGCTGCCAACCTCCAGGTTGACCTGTACTGAATGATAGACAGATCCTGGAGATATTCCAGTCTGGATTTAGGGTGAACCACAGCACAGAGACGGCTCTCCTAAAGGTTTTAAATGATCTTAGATGTAACTGGGACGCCCAAAAGCTCTCAGTCCTGGTGCTGCTGGATCTAAGCGCAGCCTTTGATACAGTAGACCACGCTGTTCTTTTAAACAGACTGAAACACATGGTGGGCCTCTCTGGTGCTGTACACAACTGGTTCACTTCCTGTCTCTCTGACAGATCTTTTATGGTGAGTATGGATACATGCTCCTCTAAGATCCATAGAATGACATGTGGTGTGCCTCAAGGGTCGGTTCTAGGCCCTGTACTTTTTAATTTGTATATGTTGCCTCTCGGCGGTGTCATCAGGAGGCATGGAGTGAACTTCCACAGTTACGCTGATGACACGCAGCTGTACATCTCCGTGTCTCCTGATGACACCAGACCAATGGATGCCCTTTTTAACTGTATCTTGGATATAAGATCTTGGATGGCAGAAAACTTTTTACAGCTTAACCAGGACAAAACTGAAGTTTTAATTGTCGGTCCTGAGGCTCAGAGAGAGAAACTCTTGTCTAAATTAGAGGCATTTTCACTATGTCCTTCGCTACAAGTGAAAAACCTGGGTGTTATTTTTGACTCTGAGCTTGGTTTTATCCCACATGTTAAACATGTAACCAAAATTGGATTTTATCATCTAAAAAATATAGCCAGAGTCGCCCTATTCTCTCTCGGGCCAACACGGAGATGCTGATGCATGCTTTTATTACCAGTCGCATTGATTACTGCCCTGCTCTCTGGTCTTCCTAAGAAGAATATTTCAACTTTACAACTCTTGCAAAACTCGGCAGCTCGTGTGCTGACGAAGACCAGAGGGCGGGCCCACATTACACCGGTTTTAGAATCGCTGCACTGGCTCCCCGTGTGTTTCAGGATCGATTTTAAAGTTCTTTTATTGGTTTTTAAATGTCTTAATGGTCTTGGGCCTTCTTATCTCTCAGATCTGCTTTTACCATACGAACCCTCGCGGACCCTGAGGTCCTCTGGTGCTGGCCTTTTGATTGTCCCTAAAGTCAGGACACATACTCACGGAGAGGCAGCTTTTCAGTGGTATGGTCCTCGTCTGTGGAACAGCCTGCCGGAGGAGCTCAGGGCCGCAGAGAACGTACATGTTTTTAAGAACAGGCTCAAGACCCACCTTTTTAATTTAGCTTTTACTTAGCGTTTATTTATTTTATGCTTATTTATTCTATCCTGTTATTCTATTATTAATTTAGGCTTTACCTAATATTTATTGATTTTATTCTTATTCATTTTTTAATCTTCTTACTCTATTTATATTTATATTTATATTGTATCCTGTTCTTATTTATTTTATCATTTTACCCTGTATACATCGTATTGCGTCATATCTCCAGTGTTTCCTCGGAGGGCGCTCTCTGCACCGGGGCTGTTATTTATAAATGGGTCTCTGGGGTCCTCTCAGCCTGGTTGGGGGGCTCCTTTGCCTCCCTCCGGCTGTGTGCCCAGCCCGGAGGCTGCGGTCTGTGACCGGCTCCCGGTGCAGACGGCTCTCTGTTATAGTGTTTCCTCACTTGGCTCATGCGAGCCCAGCCCAATTTTTACTCTTTAAGTGTGCGCGTGTGTGTATGTGTGTGTGGGTGGGGGTGGGGGGATATATGTGTATTGAGAGTGTGGGGAGTGAGTTGGAGGGTGGGGTGGGCTGCTTTTAACTATGTAAAGCACTTTGTGCTACATTTTTTCTGTATGAAAAGTGCTTTATAAATAAAGATTGATTGATTGATTGATTGATTGATTGATGTCAGTTCACAGATAATGATGATATCATTATTTAATGCATCACCTGACCTTTCTGCTAACTATACAGCAAATATACACCAATCAGGCATAACATTATCATCACCTGCCTTATATTGTGTTGGTCTCCCCCCAAAAAACAGCCCTGACCCGTTGATGCATGGACTCAATTAGACCCAGCCACCAGGGGGATGGCTGTAGCTCAGGAGGTAAAGCAGGTCATCTACTAACCAGAGGATGGTGAGTCGATCCCAGCGTGCGTGCCAAATATCTTTGGGCAAGATACTAACTTCAAGTTAATCTCCAATGCAGTATGAATGTGAGAATACCTAGGAAAAACTATGGAAAAAGGAGCTTGTATGAATGGGTGAATGAGGCATAAAGTGCTTTGAGTGCTCAGGTAGAGTAGAATAGTGCGTATAAGAGCCGGTCCATTTACCATTTACCCCAGGGACGGGCCCAAGGTTTGCCAAAAACATCACACTGCCTCTGCCAGCGTGCCTTCTTCCCATAGTGAATCCTGGTGCCAGTTGTTCCCAGGTAAGCGACATACACACACCTGGCCATCGATGCAGTGTAAAAAGCAATCCGACCAGACCGACTTCTTTCATTGCTCTGTGGTCCAGTTCTGATGCTCACTTTTACATTGCTGGTGCTTTTGGTGGTGGACAGAGGTCAACATAGTCAACCTGGTTGGTCTGGAGCAGCTCTGCAGTGCACGGTGTGCTGGGACACCTTTCTATAAGAACCAGCTTTAACTTTTTGGCAATTTGAGCTATAGTAGCTCGTTTGTTGGCTCAAACCTCACAGGCCAGCCCTCGCTCCTCGCATGCATCAATGAGCCTTTACTGCCCATGGCCCTGTGACTGGTTCACCACGTTTCCTTCAGTGTGCCGTCTTCAGGTGCCATGTTTTCTTTTCAGCAGGTCACAGCTGGGGAGACAATGGGAAGTGAAATTAAAGCGGTAACAAGCATTTTGTGAAGTGTTAGAGACACAAAAACTGTGAAATCCACTGAAAAAGGGGAATAAAAAGGAACATGAGGAACAGAGAAGGGGCTTTTCCTTCCCACTGTTGCTAAGCGCTTGTTTGAATGTAATCATTAGGTTTCTCTCTATAGCAACCTTAGATTAATATATAACCTTACTATGTAAAATACTTCAAGATGGCTTATGTTTGGATTTCACACTGAATAGAAACTGACTGACGGCGCGTTAGGAATGAAATGATTAAGCAAAGCCTTTTTTGTGATTTTTATATACACATTGGAACTTTGCTTATTAACTCTGTGTCATCAATTCAGCATCAATTCAGCACAATGATTGAGTTGAATATTGAGACTGACATGTTGAGCTGCAGAGGGAATTGCAAACATGCTTAAACATCATAACTAGTTAAAGTCAGGGCGATATTTCTCTGTGCCACGCGAGTCCGAACAGAATGTCCCGGACTTGGATAATAAGCAGAGAACAACAGGCTGAGAATTGCTAGATAATATTAATATAGCGAGGTTAGGTTAGGGAGGTGTTTTTTCTTTGGAGCAGATGCAGACGAGGTCAGACGAGGATGAAGTGCAGGAGACGATCCACTCGTAGGATGGCAGGACCGGCACATCGTAGAAGAAGACAGTCATAATCAGACTTGTTCTTGTTGTGGTATGAAACTGTATTGCAGGGTCATCCTTTGTGTAGAGCAGACCGTTGCTCCAGCGCTGAAACTTCAACTGCTGAAACAAATGAAATCTTTTAAAAGATAATCACTCTCCTGTTCTTCCTTAAAGAAACAAACACTAACAGAAGTGGGTTTAGTAACTATTTATGTTTAATTATTATTTATTTAATTATATATAAATAGTTACAATGTTATAATGTTACATAAAAATAACTACATTACACCTGAAAATGTGTCATTTAGTTACATTGCCAAGGATTACAGTGTCTTAAAGTGTACCATCATTAAGCTCCGTCTAAATCTTGTTTTTGTGAGTAACCTGAGTGTAAATACTTTTTACTCTGTTTTTTGTTTGTTTTTGATCATGAAGTGAAGTCACCCAAAAATGCGCTTACATTGTAAAAAGGATTTCATGAAGTCCTGAAATTTGACTATAAGACAAAGAAGTTGTCATCATTCATTTATCCTTGAAGCCTCATTAAGAGCTGCTTTGTGATCATTTCTAAAGAATATTTCATTGTGTTTATTTCTTTGCTCTTTACACGAGCAGGGACACATCTGTGGTGTGAGCGCACTGTCTTTAGTATGCTATGGTGTAAACTGGCCTGTTTTTACTCTGAACCATTTCTATATATTAATTCAGGCCTTTTGTTTGTGTGTGTTTAATGTATCTTTCAGTCTGAATTTGTGGTGTGAGTCTGTCGTGCGGGCTAATTTCCATGTTTTTATGTTAAAAATAAACTGAAGATGATATTTTGTTCCAGGCCTTTCTGTGCTTTGTGTCACCTCTCTCGTGTTTTCCCTCCGGGACGCGTGCGGACCCTTCTGTTACCCCTCTGTCCCCCCTCCTTTCAAAGAACCCTGTATTGTTGTACATATCAGACCGTACCAAGTGTTGTGTAGAGTGGGGGTGTATCGATTGCTCCTGCGGTGTATTGATTGCTCCTCCATCGCACTGTCTGACCACGCACCTGGAGCTCGAGGCCCGGCCCGCATCACAGGCTGGTACCGGAGGGTGTCGTTTGAAGTCAGCTGGGGTGCCGCTGGGCAGATTGATGGGACAGGAGAGAAAGCAAAGACGTACACGACGCAGTGGGCGGACAACCATTGCTCCTGGCTGCTAATAAAGGAAAACCGCGTCTCGGCTGTGTGTCGCTGGAACAACAGACAGCCCAGCGGAGGGAACGCGGCACGGGATCCCGCCTGCACCTGCTTTGTTGTCTGTGCTCGTCTCGTTCACCGTGCGGATAACATGTTTCATCGGAGCGCTTTGTTACTGCTGCCCGTCTTTTGTAACATCATCAGCAACTCCAGCGCTGCATCCTCAGCATCCCGTAAGTAGGCTGTCGCGCGCGCGCGCGCACGCACACACACTACCGTAGCAACCGAGGTTAATTTGGAAACATTCATTCATATGAAAATTACGCTCGTAGCAATATTTCTGTCTAACGTGTAAAAGGACTGGGCTTCAGTAGAAATAGCAGCTCTGCGTGGAGACACACTCGTGTCTCGGTCCACCGTGGACTTCTACACAGAATCTCAACAACACATCAGAATAATAGCGTGACCAATACACACCATCTCTGACTGTGTAATATATCCATGCATGCTCCACAGATGGAGCTAAAAATAGCAGGAGTCTCAGTGTAGCTCGTGTTTATTTAGATCACAGCAGCTGTTCTGTTCATGGAGCTGCTGATGCAAAAGGTAAGAGCCCCAGCAGTCAGATAGAGCCCTTCAACAGGAAGAGGTCTCCAACAGAATGAGGCTGAGGGAAGGGCAGCCATCTGCTGCGGCCGGTGACTGGCTGGGCAGTGATGGGAAACGGAAAAGAGGAGCATCGGGAGACCCCCAAAGACCACACAGTATAAAGCAGGTAGAACTAATCACATGTATTAGGGACATATAAGCACATATGGAGGGGGGGAGAAAGGCATCATGAATGCACACAGGACAATAAAGAAAAAGTTGAGAAAACTCTAAATGCCAACATGATCCAAGGGCTTTTTGACTTTTGTGTTGTTTTTGACTGGTTCTGGTAACTTGGATAATCGTATTAATCTGTTTAACGTATTCATGTGACGTAATCAGTCAAATGTTTGGTTTGGCGCAGGTTTTTCAGCCAAACACTCTTCCTCATACAACCTTCCCATTTATCTACACTTGAGACCAGTAGCAGACCCAGCCCAAAAACCATGGGCATCAGAGCTTTTTAAAATTTGACTCTGGATTCAATAAGGAGCCAATAAGAGTAACTGAATATGACAGAACTGTGATCAATACAGGCTCTGGCTGTGACCAGAGCCTGTATTGATTTTGACACAGAAATTCTGATAACATGACGATAGTTACTCTGAAGTGGACACATGGAAGAAATGAACGGATGGATAATTTAGTATAAGGTACTGTGAGCAGCATATTTACCGAGGCTCCAGTTCTGCTGGAACTGAAGGGGGCAGCACATGCATGCAGCTGGTGGTGACGAAGAAGAATAAGGACCCAGCATACACACTGAAAACTACAGCTAGGCAGCTCTGCTCCAGCTCAGTGATAAAAAGGGCAGAGTCGGGTATGAAAGTTTGATGCATTTAGTCAGTGACCAAAGGTTAACAACGGATAATATGCAACCAGTGCTATCATGCTTTTTATACTGGGAGAGAAAATGCTTCCAGTTTACCAGAGCACCTGAAAGTCTGGCATCTGTTCAAAGAATTACAGGTTTCAATTCAACATCAAGCAGCCTCCAGTGTTGCCCTTCTGTTACTGTGAAAGACACACAAGTGTTCTCTGAGGCCATTGTAGAAATGCTTAAGCTAACATAACTGCTGTTTTAGCTCACAGTAACATCAACAGGCTACAGCAGCCACGCTAACATCAGGCTGTCGTGTCCACTCGTGGTCTATCACCACCGTGTCACTGATTTTAAAGACGATTGTGGTTACGTAGCTGGGACAGTCATTTTAATTTGGTATCAAAATGGGAATCACATAATTGTAACTGTTCCCACTACTAATCTTCTGGTATTGTGACGTCCCTGCTTTCTAGGCCCTGTCATACATTTACTGCCTTTACTGTGTGTTTTTTATTAAGTAAATGGTAAACGGCCTGTATTTCTATAGCGCTTTACTCGTCCCTAAGGACCCCAAAGCGCTTTACATATCCAGTCATCCACCCATTCACACACTGGTGATGGCAGCTACATTGTAGCCACAGCCACCCTGGGGCGCACTGACAGAGGCGAGGCTGCCGGACACTGGCGCCACCGGGCCCTCTGACCACCACCAGTAGGCAACGGGTGAAGTGTCTTGCCCAAGGACACAACGACCGAGACTGTCGGAGCCGGGGCTC